CTGGGTGAATTTGGGCCAATCACCAGGGAGATGGGGAGTTCTAGTCCCGCCTTAGTCACAAAAGTCAGCTAGGTGATGTAGGGAAAGCAGGAGGAAGAAGATGGGTTGCATATATTCACAGCTTTGGGTGGGGTGTAAAAAATAATAAAGGTGGGATAATAAACACAAAAACTAAAGTTTCCCCGTTAAGCAGTTAATCTCCTTTTATTGGTTTTAATTCCCAATGTTGCCTTTTTCTTCCTTGCAGGTTGAGCATCGTTTTCTGCCTCTTCCACCACCTGTTTACTGGCCGTAAATCGATTTTCCGCATCAGAATTCACACACCGCCTTTTCTCTGCTTTTCGCTCCTTTTTAATGCTGGGACCAACCTGCATGTCAATCACCGAACACTTCTGGACAAGCATAGTTGACTTGGCTGAATAAAACACTTCCAACAACTTCTGGCCTCTCTCTCACTTTATTTATCCTGCTTGTTCCGCTGCACAAGCCGATGGGAATCCCAAAACAGGAAAATACAAATATTCGAGATCTGGGAATGACACGGAAGCCAAACAAACCATGATAAAGGCCCCGTGAATGTGGCAAATGGCAAAACAAGCCAGGAACAGCAGCTTGATTGCAGAATTGTGGGTCTGTTGATCATCGTTGCTATCTATTTTGAAAGCTAAGGGATTTCGCTTGGGCTACGGAGTGACATATGCAAAATAGATTGCAGATTAACAGAGCTGGAAGGGACCTTGTAGGTCATCTAGTCCAACCCCTGGCTCAAGCAATATCTTACAAACATACATTATTAATTATGTTACAATTGCAAATTGTAGCAAATTGTAATTTGTTATGTTACAAACGCTCAAACATTACCTATGCTCTTTACATGCTAAGTGTGATGACCCGGGGTGGTTGCACAACAATAACAAAGTCACCAAAGTAGAATAAATTCCCTTTAGTGCCTCCAACTTGGCTCCCGACGTCCAGTTATCCTCGGCTGGAGATCAAACTCTTCCAAAAAAACAAGTCTACGAAGGGAAGAAATGCAGTCCGAACCCAAAGTAAAGATAATTAGAAATAAAAACAACACCACAAACCACACTGAAGTAATTAACACGACAGGCCAGAATGATAAATTGCAGACTTCCAAAAGATAACGCAGCACCCACAGTTGGGAGGACTGCCAAAACCTAGATAAGCCTCCACCAAGAAAATGCACACTTTGCTTCCAGCAACTTTGCCGTACACAATTTGCCCTTTTAAACAGTCATCCCAGCTGCAGCCCATGAAGGCGATCAGGGCCTTTTCCTCCCCCGTAAGCCACGTTGCTCCCTTCTCCGTTCCTCCCTGTGTGCCCTAGGATGAAGAGGGGGTGGGCCTGGGTTTTCCTCTGAATGCCCAGCCGGACTGTGCCCTTCCCCAGTTTCCTCCACAGCCACCAGAGCCACACTCCCACTCCCTGTCAGCTACTCAACCTCCCCTCAGAATCCGACTCCAACAAGGGTTTGACACGAAGCTTTGATCCATTGAAATAGGCGATCCATTAAAACACCTTGAGGTGTTTTTTTTTTTGCAAAAGACAAGCAAATAAACCAACAAACAAAAACTGTATTTTTGTTCTCCCAGTAAATGATAATTGTTGGGAGGGGGAAAAAAAATCAGAGAAGCCACTTCTCTTTTTTTAATGCCTTCCCCGTCTCAAACTTTTAGGGTAGCTAAAGCAGCATGGCCATCGAACGCCAGAAGGACGAAACCTGTCTTTTCAAATGGTAATTTTATTTCATTTCATGATGTGTGCATTTTTCCTCGGCTTCCTATCTTGGAAGGCGGGATGGGAAAATTGTGCTACAAAATAATAATAATAATAATAATAATAATAATAATAATAATGATAATGATAATAATAAGCGTAATAATTCCACTCTCAAATCCAAACGCAAGGTGTTCCTTTCCCCTGACTGGGAAGAGTCCCAAGAGGCCGTTGTATCAAAACAATCAGGAAAAATGGAGCGATCTCTCTAACTGAATCCCAATTCTTTTGGACTGGACTCATTTTACCCTGAAATTCTCTTTTCTCCGGGAGAAAAACAAAATTGAAAAGCTTTAAGGTATCCGGGGAAGGGAACGGCAGAGAGACCAAATTCTCAACAGGAATCCAACTGGTAGAACCTCGACGACCAACTTCTCCAATCTGTGTCTTTGATTCTGCTGAGGGAGAGACGGAGGCCACCGATTTGAGACGCGCTGAGAAATTTTCCTTCAGTTCAAAATATCCAACTGTCTGTGAAGTTCATGATTCAAGATCCGGGCAACTGGCGACAGAAACAAGAAATTACTTTCAGGAATCATTTCTATAGTATCCAACTAAAGAAATGCACTCAAACACTGAAGGCTTTCTCCCTGCCCCCTTTTTTTTCCATAATTTTTTTATTTTATGTTACAACAAATCCATCTTTCATTGACTGGGTACATATATCCTGTGCTGACAATTATAATTAATACTTTCTTACCAATATAAGAATCATCACGTTTCCTTTATAAGCCATTATCTCTTGCGTCTATTATCTTTTTAACAACCTGAACTTATTTCTCTGTGTATTCATTGACTCAATTTTAACTTGCTTTAATTTCCAACCGTTGATAAAATAAACCCCATACCGTATAATATTCAATTTCTTTTTTTTTTTGTATAATTGCCAGTGTTAATCTATTCATCTCTGCACATTCTAACGCTTTTCTCAATCACTTTTCCCTCTCTGTCGGAATTTTTTTCGCTTGTCCAATTCTGAACAAATATAATTCTAGCTGCAGTTAATACCTGGATAATTGAATATATGTTTGCTTTGCTATAGCATTCAGGTACCATCCCTAATAGAAATATTTCAGGTTTCAAGTCTATGTTGCTTTATCATTTTTTTCCCAACCACGTGTGTACTATAAAGCCTTAGTCAGACCACACCTAGAGTCCTGCATCTAGTTTTGGTCACCACACTATAAAAAAGATGTTGAGACTCTGGAAAGAGTGCAGAGAAGAGCAACCAGGATGATGAGAGGACTGGAGGCTCAAACATACAACGGACGGTTGCAGGAACTGGGCCTGGCTAGTCTAGGGAAGAGAAGGACCAGGGGAGACAGGAGAGCATCTTCCAATATTTGAGAGGCTGCCCCAGAGAGGAGGAGGAAGGGGGTCAAGCTATTCTCCAAAGCACCTGAAGGCCAGACAAGGAATAATGGATGGAAACTGAACAAGGAGAGATTAACCTGGAAATAAGGAGAACATTTCCTGATAGACATTTCCTGTTCATCTTCTGCAAATCATGGTTATTCTGTCAAACCACCTCTCCAGCAGGTTCTCTGAAGTAGACTCCTGAAAAGTTACATTCTCCACGATCTCAGAGGCCACCAAGCAAATGTTGGAAGGTTTTGTTTCCACGGTCACAAGGTTCATCACTAGGAGTGGGAGGAAAGAGGAGGAAGAAGAGGAGGAGAAAGGGAAGAAGGGGGAAAAGAAAGAGAAGGGGAAAGAGAAGGAGGAGAAAGGAGCAGAAGAAGGGGAAGAGGGGGGGAAAGGAGAAGGAGAAAGAGATGGAGTAGGAGAAAGAGAAGGGGAAAAGAAGGAGAAGGAAAAGAAGGAGAAAGAAAGAGAAGAAGGAAAAGGGGATAGAGAAGGAGAAGGAGAAAGGAAAGGAAAAGGAGAATGAAAAAGGGGAAAGAGAAGGAGAAAGAAAGAAAAGAAGAAAAGAGAAAGAGAAGGAGCAAGGAAAAGGGAAGGAGAAGGAGAAAGAAGGGAAGGGGAAAGGGAAAGAGAAGGAGGAGGAGGAAGAGAAGGAAAAGAAGAAAAAGAAGAAATAGAAGAAGAGGAAGAGGAGGAAGAAGGGGAGGAAGTTATCTACCATTAATATCCACGAAGAAGGAGGATTTAAATATTACCTCCGTTCACCTGGCTTCACCTGATCTCAAAAGGCTAATTAGAGACACATCCGGACATCCCAGGACTGACCCCTAAGTTAACCAGCCAACCATAAAGCCCCCCTCTCCATCCACCGACCTTCAGAAAGAAGCCATAATCCCACAACGCGGCCACGGGGATGCTCGTCCCTGTTACCTGTTTGAGGGGGGCTCACCTGCAGCAATGGCGTTGACCGTCGATTTGTGGTTTGTCTCCTGGGCAATTATCTCTGAAAAAGAAACACCCAGGATGTTGCTGACCACCAAGACTGGTCACTCTGCGAATATCCAAGCCAGGTTGTTTAAACGAAGGTGGATATTAGACCCATATTGGTCAACCCTTAAGCCACTTTACGACGTACAGACTTCAACTCCCAGAATTCCCCCGCCAGCTTTTCTGCTGGCTGGGGTATTCTGGGAGTTGAAGTCCACGCCTCATAAAAATCGCTGAAGTTAGCAATCCCTTCTTTAAAACAGTTCAGAGGAGGAACATAATCATTGCTGGATTTCTTCCGGGTTGGATTAAAAGTAGGCTCAGCAAACTTTCAGCGCCAGGGGCCACTCTCCCAAAATGGCTGCCCCGCAGAAGGACACCAATTCGAAGACAAGAACAGAATAACAGAGTTGGAAGGGACTGTGGTGACCCAGGGCGTGGCACAAAAATAACGGAAGTCACAAAAATAGGTAAAGTCCTTTTAACACCTCCAACTTGGCCCCCAATGTCCAATTATCCTCGGCTGGAGATCAAACTCTTCCAAAAAGAGTCTACGAAGGGCAGAAATGCAGTCCAAACCCAAAGTAAAGATAATTAGAAATGTTAAAAAATCAACACAAACCACGCTGAAGTAATTGACACGGGCAGGCCAGGATGATAAATTGCAGACTTCCACAAGATAACGCAGCAACCACAGCCAATGCAGCCGAAACCCAGATAAGCCTCGACAAAGATAGCTCATGCTTTGCTTCCAGCAAGGAGCTGTGTGCAAACACCCCATTTATATCCTGTTCTCCCAGCTGCAGCAAATGAAGGGGATCAGGGCCCTTTCCTCCCCCATAAACCATGTTGCTCCCTTCTCTGTTCCTCCCTGCGTGCCATAGGATGAAGAGGGGTGGGCCTGAGTCTTCCTCTGAATGCCCATCCGGACTGTGCCCTTCCCCCGTGTCTTCCACACCCACTGGAGCCACCCTCCCACTCCCTGTCAGCTGCTCAATCTCCCCTCAGAATCAGACTCCAACAAGGGCATGACAGGGAACTTGGAGGTCTTCTAGCCCAACCCCCCTGCTTAGGCAGGTAACCCTAATGCATCTCAGACAAA